GCACCTGGAACCCAGAGCCCCACATCTCCCTCTGTGACTTAGCTGATCTGCCAGTTAAACTGCTCAGCCGGGCTCCTGTGCGGGTAAAGAATTCATTTCCAACTGTGGCCCCCTCTGACTAAAGTTGAAGGCTCAGGGGGCTTTTGCTGAAGGCAGGGTTTGGGGAGTTTATTATTCCATATTCTGTTTTCTCATTCATTCATTCATTGTGTCTTTGTTGAGCCCCTGCTGTATGTTGGAATCTGCAGCTCTGAGATGAAGAAAACACTGGATCAGTCAAATCCAAACTGGCGTAAGCAAAAAGAGATAGGCCAGCTGTAGGCCTAGTGGGTTCTGTTAGAGGTGGGAATTCATCTTTGAGCTGTTTGGTGGATCTGGTTCCGTTCACCCAGCAGAACTAGCAAGTTCAGCTGAATCAAAGGGAGAGCGAGAAACCGGGGGAGTAGAAAATGAGGCAGCTGGGGCTCCAATTTAGCAAAGAGAGAAGTGTAACTTTATTTAAGGCACAGTAGAGATAAGCAGAGACTTTTCCAGGAGGGTGGCAGCTCCCTGTCTGAGTGAGAGGAGATGCCACACAAAGGCAATACGCCAGCAAGAGTACTTTCATCCAGTTCCTCCTACGTTCATCAGTAAGAATTCCCATTGGCTCCCCTCAGGCCTTCAGACGCGCTGTCCCGGTTTCATTGGTTGTGGGTTACCTCGGTTGTCACATAAATCCAATTTCCTTACTCTGTATTTTACTGTCTTATCTTCCTAGCCATGGTATAAGGAATCTGTTAGTCTTGTGATATTTGTGGCAACTATGGTGTTCTTTCTTCTGAGATGGGGATCCTTATCTTTGTTTTATGGAGAGATCTTTATTATACCAAGTGCTAGAGGTCATGGGCCACAGGCTGGAAGTCATGTTTTGCAGGAAGAGCACACACTCGATTAACTGCGTCACACCCATCCAGAATTCCTCATTTTGCTTTCCAGCTTTCCCATTCAGAAGGCCGTAATTCTCTTCCCCCTCCCTGTAGCTCCTTTCACTCCCTTCCACCCCTAGTCAGGTCCCAAGCTGCTGGATGACATCCCCATCAGGGCTGGGTCAAACTTCTCCTGCTTTTTCTTTTTGCTCTTTAGGTACCACCATAAAGCAGCCTCAGATGGACCCCACTTCTCTGCACCCCAATGGGAGTCCCTTTCCCAGCAGTATCATCTAATGTCCCTGAGCAGGGGTGACACTGTTGGAAGAAGAGGGGACAGAAATCTAGAGGAGAAATTGGACTGCACGTGGGGAGAGGAGTGCATTGAGTACCTGCTGTTTACAGATGCCTTGCTATACGGAGTCGTTTTCTCTGTGTAACCCTGTGAGGTGAAGAGTCTTGTTCTCAGTGTTCAGATGGGAAAACTGATATTCAGGGAAGCAAGCCTCTGTCTCAGCTAGGAGTCCTGAGGCGGCCGGGACCATGTTTTCCTCAGCTCGGCTCCTTGCATAGCACCTAACACAGCCAGGTAGCTCCTCAGTGGCACCTGGCTCTTCTGAGCTCTGCAAAGCCGCCTTTCAAATCAGTTCTAAATAGGCTGGGCCTGAGTGACTTCTGGTTAGTTCTTGTATTCCTCAGATAGGGGTGACCTACAGTGTCCTGAGCTGGGGAAAAGATGGGCAAATACACCTACCTACACTTCACTCCTGGGCCGTCATGATAACCCGTTAGAAACTACTGGGTCATGGCATCTCTCTCTATTTCCTTTATGATGAATTCTTTCCTAGGACTCGACTCGGCTCACCAGTAACATCGATTTTAATAATAACACTTCCGCCTACTCACTGAGCGCTTACTGTGCGCCGGCTACTACTGAGAAGCTTCGTGCTCATTTGGTCCCATTTCATCCTCACAGCATATATTCAGGTACATTCTATCCTCACCTCCACGTTACAGGTTAAGGACCTGAGGCTCAGGCAAGTTAAGTAACAGAGTCTAGTGATAAAGCTAGTATAATCACATTGTTATTTATTGAGCCCTTACTGTGCTAGGCTTGACTATGTGCTCTGTGCTTGAGATTTGGGCCCTGGCAGGCGGCTCCATGGTCCACGCCCTTAAACACTCTGTGACTGCACCCAATAAGCATTCAACATGCTCCCAGTCAGTGCCAGGTGTAGTGGGTGGATCCATCTTGCCCCTGGGGGGGCTCTCATTCTTCATTTGACTCAGAATAGCCCTCTGGGGCAGGCAGCTGCTCCATTTTGCAGCTGAAGAAACTGAGGGAGCCTGTGGAGGGAAAGCGACTTGCCTCGGGTCATGTAACCTCAGGCTCCTGCGGTGGGCCCTGTGGCCAGGGGGGTCTGTAGGGGATTAGGGACCCAGAACTGAATCTTGAGCTGGGCTGATCCATCTCTCTCTCCAGATATGGTTGTGGTCCTGGGGGCATCCTCACCTTCGAGGCCTGGGACATTTACAGGGCATCCTCCAGGGTAAACTGGTGATAGGAAATCCTGCGGTGCTGGGATACTGGCTCTCCCCTGACCTGCGGGCCTTAGCATTCATCTGCCCTTCTTTATTTATTGCTGTGCTTTCCACATGTCAATTTCAGCTGGCTCTGGGACTGCCCAGGCCATTTGTCTTTTTGCCAAAGGCAGCAATGAAGGTGGAGAGTCTGAACCTTGGCCTGGGCTCCTGCTCCGGCTCTTTGCCACTTAATAGTCTGTACCACTCTGGGCAACAGAGCCTTCCCTCTCTAGGCTTTGCTGGCAGGCTAAGCCCCTTCCTGGGCTAACCTTGTCTGGCACACAGTAGGGGTTTTACAAGGGCTGGTCCCTGGGCCTACATGTGGTGGTGGCCTGGTCTGGTGGCTGGGATCTGAGACCTTGCTTTGCCACTGCGTGCTGTGTGATCCTGGGTGAATCCCATACCTCCCTCTTTGACCCTCAATGTCCTCATTTGTAAAATAGGGGAGCTCCTGAGAGCACTGTGAGGATTAGACAAGATAGTGCATGGAAAGCACCAGATTCTTGACTTTCTTGCCTTTACCTTGCTGGACCTCCCATCTCTATTCACATAGAAGGCTTAGACTCCATGAATAATAATCACACTCTTACTCATTAAGCACTTGCTCTATGCCTGTGATCTCATGCTACCCTCGTCTATCAGAGGTAGGAAGTATTAGCCCCGTTTCTCAGATGAGGAAAACTGAGGCACACCAAGTTAGAATTTGAACTCAGGTCTGCCCATCTCCAAAGGCCTGTGTTCTTTGATTTCTTTCCTTGCTTTTTGTTTGCACAGCTAAATTGGAATTTTGCTGTTCCTTAAGAGACTAAGCCTTGCTTCTGCTGAGGAGAGGCTTCCAGGGGGGTGGGACAGGGCCTGTGGCAGTGGGGCAGCTCTCGTGATGTCCTCAGGTCTCAGGAAGGGGCCAGTGATCTTGCTCAAACATCCACTTCCTGCCTCCTGGTCTTGTCCTGAGCAATCTCTGCCACCCACCCCTGAAGGATGAAGAGACAGAATCTCCCAATGAGTCAGTGTAAGACCCGCCCTCTGCCAACTAGTGCCGCCCTGATACATTTGGCTGGAGCCCACTTTCTGTGGGGAGCTGTGAGCCTGGGGCCTGCTCTCTCTTTGTTTAAAATGGTTAATCCACAAATTTCAGGGAGTCATTAAAAGCATGGTAGAAACAAAAGGAGACTCCTGCATGGAATCAGAAGGGCTGGGAGATAATTGAGAAGGGAATCACTTTCTCGCTGTGTAATTCATTTTTATTAATTGGCCAATCTGTTTACCTAAAATTGCCCTGTCCTTCCATTGTAGGAATCTTGCATTGAGTGAACACAGGGCCAAAGCCTGGATGTGGGATTATTGCAGAATGATGGGACTTGGCGGGAGTTCTGCATGTGGGAGAAACCTCCACCTTTCTCAAGGGGGGCCCACACTGCTGCTTCACACCCTGATTTCTGCGGCAGCCGTGAATCCTGAGTGGTGCCTGGCCCTTTCTGTGTGTGTGGTCTGTACCCCGGATCCAGCATACGGGAAAAAGATGGTTTGCAAAGTTAAAAGATGGAAGAAGCCCAAGCACCTGTCTTGGTGGACAGAGGGTAGAAGCCTGGGCATCTAGGTATAGCACATATACCTCTGCAGTGTATGTGCTCTGTGACCCCAAGCAGGTTGCTAACCCTCTGCCTGTTTCCCCTAACTTGCCCTAACCAAATTCAGGGGCCAGATTGGGGGCCCAGAGAGAAAGCTAACCATGTATGAAATAGAAAAGGATGTCTCATACGTGTACTGAGCTCTCGCTGAGTGCCGGGAGTATTCACAAGTAGTCCATCACATCACAACTCCCCATCCACCCAGTTGGGTGGCTTCTCCAATCATCCTCATGTTACAAATGAGGTTAGTTGTAGGGATTAGGATGGAAGAGGCTTGTCAATGGCATCATTCCACACTGGTGACCCATCACATATCTGGGCCTGCGCTGCCTGCTCCAGACACAGGACAAGTGAACCCCTATCCTTGTCTCAGGAGCTCTCAGTCTTGGGGGAAGTTAGACAATCTCAACCTAGTAAGAAATGCTTTACTGGGATCCATCAGTCAAGCAGTTCCAGCTGGTAGGGCTGATCCCAGAGTTCATTTGGAGCCCCGCTAGAGAGGAAGGACATTCCAGGCTGACAGGACCTCAGGTGCAAGGGCTAGAGGCATCAAACAGCTACCCCATGGAAGAGGGGAGGAGAGATGGGTAGATTTCAGTAAAAGGTCCAGTAGCAGGGTCCAGAACTTCCCAGGATCCCACTCCCCAGGCCAGGCTGCAGTGGAGGGAGGGGGCCTTGACGCAACCGATGCCACCGCCGCTGGCTCCGGGGAGATTATCTATTTTAGCAACTCCGGGAGGGCGGAGGCAGGGAGCGCCCAGCCTCTGCCAGTTAGCGCTGGCAGCTCCGGAGCACAGGACTGTCGGGCTCCAGGCGCACGGGAAACCGGGCGTAAGCTGCGCTCTGTCCCCTGGCACGGCCCGCGGGCAGGAGGGGCGCGATGCTGGCTGTGTCGCTCAAGTGGCGGCTGGGCGTGGTGAGGCGGCGTCCCAAAGGTACCGACCGAGGGGGACGGGCACGGGCGGCCCCTCTGCTCCGCCAGGGACTTTGCGCCCGGCCCTGGGGCTGCGGGTCTGGATAGAAGGCTCAGGCTGAGAGACCCAAAGGGACTTTTGCCGGCTTCATCACCAGCTCCGTTCACCTTCCATCTGCCTCCCTCTCTCTTACTGGTCTTTTGGGGCTTCTCTGCTGCGTTTCTCTTTGCGGCTGGGTCTCTTGCCCCCTCTGGGTCTCTGCCCCAGCCCTCTCTTTCTTCCTCTCTCCATCTCTTTGGATCTTGCACTCTCTCTGGGTCTCTTCATCTGTCTCTCCACCCATCTCCCCCACCCCACCCCTCAGACTCTGCCTCTGTCCTCTCACAACCCCACTCTGTCTCTGAGTCTTTCTGTCCTATTCTTCTGTCATGGCCTCTCTCTGTCTCCCTCCCATCACCCCATCCCCTTGTGGGGTAAGTCTCCTCTGGCCTTTTCTCTCCTTGTTGAGGCCATGGGGCTGTCTGGTCAGGTGGGGCAGGCCAGCAGGGGTGCTATGTGAGAAAGAGAGAGAGAGAGAGCTCCTCTATGTATGTGTGTATGTAGATGGGCTCTGGGGAGCCCAGAGAAGTGTACGAGTGGGGAGCAGGGGCAGGTGAAGGCTGACCCGCTCTGGGCAAGACAGAATGCCATGCTAGTGCTATCCTATCCCTGGACACATGTGCAGACCCTCAGGGTTAGAGTGAGGGTAGGGACAAGGGTCTGGAGCTGACAGTTAAGCCCCCCAGGCTGTGTGACCACAGGCTTCACCTGTGACCTCATGGGCTGCCATTGCTTCACCTACAACATGAGGGAGGAGGAAGGTAGTAGATTCTCAATCTGTACGTTTTAGGCTGAGAACTAAGAATAAACCTGCTGTTAACATGAACAACAGTAACGCGTGCCAGGCAATGCATTCACTTGTTACTTCCTCACAACAAATCAGTTCCATCCTTATTCTGATTGTGCATAGAAGGAAACTGAGGCACAGAGAAGTTAAGTAACTTACCCAAGGCCACATAGCTGACATGACATATGGAGGCTCTTTCTAGCCAGAGACCTCATAACTCTAGACGCTGAGGCGCCTACATGGGGGGGGGGGACCTCTTGGAGTGGTGAGGGGCCTGGGGAGCAGCTGAGGGCTCTAGGTCCTGTGCTGGCCTCTGAGAAGCTGTCGGTCTGACATCACAGAGAGCCCTGAAGGGTCTTTCCACAAGGACAAAGCAGCCAATGCCTGGAGGACATCAGGGACTTTCCAGGGATTCCTGTACTGGGACCACCACCGTGGGAGAAGCCCCCTTTCCCGTCTGCAGACCCTGAGAACCCAGTCAGATTCTCCCAGGCTGGAGGAATAGATGAACTCATCTTGTCCCAGGGCTGTTCCAAATTAAAGTTTCCCCAGGATGTGGAAGACAGCCTACTAAATGCCATGGATCAAGTTCTACATTTTGGAGATGCAGTACATGCTTACATTGGCTCAGACAGACCTGGGTTCAAACCCCATCTGTCTTTTACTCCCTTTGTGACCTTGAAGAGCTACTCAGAACCTCAGTTCCTCATCAGTAAAATGGGCCCAAGAAAGAACACCCCCTTGAGATTGCAGTGACAATTAGAAAAAGTTGGGCATGCAGTGGACTCCTGGAATTTTGAATTCCTTCTTCCCTTTAGCAACCCAGCCACTTCCTTCCTCTCCTTCCACCCCGACTCCTTGTCCCACATACACATACCATTGTCCCCAGGACAGTTGCCTCTGGGACCAGCAAGCGCTTAATAGGAAATAAGCAAAGAAAAAAAGACAGGCGTACAGCCTGGTTAATTGAGGACACACTGTGTGCAGATGTGTGCCAGGCTCCTGCCTGACATCTCTCCACTTCATGGGGCTCTAAGGGAGGCACAAGGAACTTGTTTTGCTCATAAAATGAACCTGAATGCCCATGAATATGAAGGCTCAAGGGAGAAGGAGTCAAGAGATTTGGGGGGAGAGTGTGGAAAAGCTGTTTCTTGTGTATTCTTTTTCAAAATATATTTTTAAAGGCCTGGGGATACATCTCCCCATTTCCAGTCTGCATTCCTTTTTTTTTTTTGAGTATGTGCACATTAGGTGAGATCCCACCTCATGACCTCTCTCCTTCTGCCAAATGTTCTCCCCCTTCCTCCTCCTGTTCCCCTCTACCCTCCGAACTGGACTATATTAGTGATTTATTGTTCTTAGGAGCATGTAATTGTTTATATATTGATTTCATATTAGTATGGAGCACATCGGATATTTTTCCATTCTTGCTATACTTTACTAAGAATATATTTCAATTCCATCCAGGTAAATGTAAAAGATGTAAAGTCTTTATCTTTTTAATGGCTGAATAATATTCCATGGTATACAGATACCATAGTTTGTTGATCCATTCAGGGGTTGTGGGCACTTAGGTTGGCAATTATGAATTGAGCCACCATAAACATTCTAGTGCAAATGTCTTTGTGGTAAAATGATTTTTGTTCTTCTGGGTAGATACCTAGTAATGGGATTGCAGGGTTAGATGAAAGGTCTACTTTTAGATCTTTGAGGGTTCTCCATACTTCTTTCCAGAAAGGCTGTATTAGTTTGCAGTCCCACCAGCAGTGTAGAAGTGTTCCTTTCTCCTCCTATCCATGCCAGCATCTGGTATTTTGGGACTTCAGCCCATATTCCTTTTATCCATCTTTTCTAGGTAAGACTCTAGAGTTTTTTTAACCTGTGATTACTTGAAGAGGATCCCGGTGTGACATGGCCATGTAATACTGCTCCTGTATTTGAGGGTCCAGTTAGTGCCTGGAGAAGGAAGCAAAGATTTTTTTTTGAGACAGAGTCTCACTCTGTCACTCTGGTAGAGTGCTGTGGCATTATAGTTCACAACAACCTCAAACTCCTGGACTGAAGCAATCCTCTTGCCTCAGCCTCCTGAGTAGCTGAGACTATAGGTGCCCACCAACATGCCTTGCTAGTTTTTCTATTTTTAGTAGAGACAGGGTCTTGCTCTTGCTCAGGCTGGTCTTGAACTCCTGAGCTCAAGTGATCCACCTGCCTCCAGCCTCCCAGTGCTAGGATTACTAAAGATGTGAGCCACGGCATCCAGCTGGAAGCAATGATTTTGCTTGAGAGAGGGCAGGGGAGGCCCAAAGTGGGATTTTTAAGGATGAGTAGGAGTTTGCCAGGGAAAAGCTTGTGCAAATGTCTGGAGGTTTGAAACATCTGCCTCAGGGAACTGCAAGAACTTTCAGCATGAAGGGTGTGGGGAGAGAAGGGAGTCAAGCTAGAGGTGGTGGGCAGCTGTGGAGGTGGACTCTGTCCTGGGTGCAGGGGAGCCATGGGAGGTCCTTGAGCGAGAGAGAATGGAGGAAAGCTCTGAGTATTAGAATAGGCTCTGGCTTTGGTCTGCTGCCACAGGTGGGGCTGCAAGGACGAGGCTGGGGTGGGGTCCAGACAAGAGGCAAGGAGCCAGGGCTGCAGGATGGCAAAAATCAATGGATGTTGAAGCAGGAGAATAGCCTGTGTCATTCACTCAGTCAACTAATATTTATTGAACACTTATTGTGTGTCAGGTACTGTTCTAGCCCTCCAGGGATACAACAGGGAACAAGACAGTCCTTATCCTGCTGAACTGTGTCTGCCTGTGTGCCCTCCATGGGACACATTTGTGATGAATCATTCACTTCCTCCTTCTGCTCCTTAACCAGACTGTCCTCTGACTTGCCTTCACATCCCACTCCTGGCATTTCTCCTTGCAGTCACGTTGGGGTCTCAGATCTGACTCCCAGCATGGAAATGAGCACCCTCCTTCCAGTGCTGGCCCAGCAGCAAACTCCTAATCCATTGCCCTCCTCCGTGCCCAGAGGCACCAGAATTTCAGAGCAGCCACAGTGTCTCAGAGATCATGGCATGTCTTTCTTTATCAAGAAGCCAGGGATGAACTGTTGTCCTACAATTGTTCCTGGAATTGCAGATCCCAGCAGCCTGGAGCAAACCTCTGGACCTGGGCTTTGTTCCTCCAGTGTTTACTGATCGCTTGCTGTGCTAAGCACGGCACGTGCATTTTGTCACGTGATTAAAATAGCCCCATTTTGCAGCAGAGGAAAGTGAGGCTCAAGAAGGAAGTTGCTTTCCAGGATTACATACCTAGGAAGGAAATGGCATTTGAGCCCACTCCATGCCAAAACCCAAGTCCAATCAGATGCATTCCTCAGTTTATTCAGCCTCCCATGCTGGTAGCAAGGGGATCCGCGTGATCCTAATATGTGGCCACTGTTCTGCTTTTTCAGGCTCCCCCAAGATCTCTGCCCTCTTTCTGCTGCCCCTGTCCAGGGACAGCCCTTCAGAGGCAGTGATGGGGCTCTGCAAGGTCCTGTGCTCCGGGCTGAGCAGGCCCTCCCCACCTGGCCATCACCTCTGCCTATACCCCACCCTGTCTGTTCCTTCTTGCAGAGCACAGCCTGCAGATGAGTGCAGGGCCTGGGGGGGGGGGGGGGGGGGGATCTCAGTAGGACAGAGCAGGCAGACCAGGCCAGGTGCTCCCTGATTCCGGGCACACACATTGGGTGCATGTCCCAACTGCATATTAGCCTTGCTTGAGCCTCCTCTGGAACCTGTGCTGATCTCGTCAGCTCATGTCCCTGCATTGTCTCCACTTGTCGGCTTGGTGTTCAATCCAGCAGGCCCATCTGCCTGTCTTAATTGCCTGGATAATTGTGAAGGCTGCCGGGCCTGTCTCCCTGCCTGGGGAAATGGTCTGATGGAGCGAAAGGAACATCCATCAGCCAGGAAACAGAGGCCAACCCCAAATCCCCGACTCTCTGTGGGTCCTTGAACAGGTCCCTGCCCCTCAGCCTCCGTTTCCCTTCTGTACCCCCAGACCTGCTCTCCTGGGACTGGAAACCATCTTGCTGCCTCCCACCACCTACACATTCAGTCCCCTTGGGCTGACCTTGACTCTCTAGTCCCAACGTCTCACTGT